CCTTTTCTGGATTTGTTCAGTTCATTCACCATATCTTCTTCTAATTAATTAATTAATTAAGTGGTCACTCACACATTTTTTCTGCACATTGGGCAGTTCCCTTGTCTGGTGAGCCATTTGTCTATGCAGTGAGGGTGGAATAAATGCCCACAATTGGGCAGTAATCTTACACTCTCTCCATCCTTCACATCCTGTCATCATCACATCAGATGAATGAAAATTAATACATCAAATTAATTATACGGAGAAACGCTACAGTCATGTTACGGAACCATTTTATCGGGATTTGTAACTGTTAGATCATCATATAACCGTCGTGAATAGTTGATCTGACGGTCACAAATCCACACGGAATGGTTCTGTTATGGGACCGTAGAATCTCCCAATTATATGTTAGCACGATCATAAATAAATTGTATACTTGCAAGCAAATGGCACAACTAGTTTCAAGAGGCGATCTCTCGGTATCTTGGAACTCGTAAACGGGCAAGTAGTCGTCGATTGTATGTTGAGATAATCCAGGACTAGTCGTGTTCGTGACCTCAAAAATGTCTCGAGAATATTCGCTTGGACTCGGTTCCATAGTGTTGACCTACGAGGAAAGTAACGAACCAAGAACAATTTAATTTTACCTAATAAATTTTAGTTATATAATTGCTAGCTAAACATTTAATTTTACCTATTAAATTTTACCTAATAAATTTTACTTATATGGCAAACCGTCCATACTCCAAAACCGTTACTTTTTAGTTTCTATTACTAAAATTTCCATTGACTTTGAACATTTAGAATGATGTAATTTGTGTCATGTTGTCGTAATCTACCATTAATAGTATGCAATTATTTATTTGTACATCAAATTTTGTGTATCTAAGAATAAAAACAAAAATAGTTATTATTGATAGTAATAATATATATTTTTAATCGAATAATATAATAGTTATTATTAAAATTAGTACTTATATTTTACACTAAATGATATATGAAAGTTACATAAACATAAAATATTATATTGCAAAGATTTTTTGTTCA